CTGCTGAAAGGGAGGTGAAATCCCCATTTTCTTGCAAACAGCAGAGAAGCGAGAGCAGCTGGGGTGGCTGCACTAGCTGTGTCTTACACATTCGGCCACCTAACTTGGAAAGTGGCCTCTCTATTTGTATCTGGAGCTGCATACAGAGGGTGTGTGCTAGCCCTCTGCCAGGTCTCCATTACATTAGGTGTATGGGAAGGAGAGAGCTCCAGGAACTGGAGGGGAAGCAGTACCGGCAGTGTCTGTCCTTGCTCCTCTCCCAGCTCCAGGCACAGGTGCCTCCCTCCTGGAAGCACCGCTCTGCAGTTTCATTCCAGTGAAGTAAAGGAAACAAAACTTTCAAGTGAGTCCCCGGCTTCCCTTTCCTTTTCCCTGCCAGAGGTAGAATGAGGAGTGTCTATGTGAAGGACATCAAGGTATTTTTAGCATGGGGAAAGAAAGGCAAAATATAAAATATATGGGAAAATACACCTTCTGCAGCTGCAAGACGAATTGCACTCGCTATCAGACCAGCTCAGGGCTACTGTTTTAGCTGGAAAGGATTTATTTGCCTGAAACCCAGCAAGGTGAAGAAAGCACCACCACCTGCAAACTTACTGGGAGGCTTGGGGAGAAGGCAGCTGTGTCCTGCTCCTTCCCTTTCACACAAATCTGGCAAGTCCTCTAATACAAGATTTCTTCCTGACGCTGGCACCCCGCACTCCGGGCAGCTCCTGGCCCTCTGTGCTGGCCCTGGGAGTGCACGAGGGCTGGGGCTGGAGTGACCCTGCAGGGCACTGGCACTGCTGGGGCTGGGGGCTTAAGCCAGTTGTGTCATTTCAGCTTGTGAGCCTGAGAGGATGGACTTTTCTTCTCCCAGCGGAATGCTGTTGCGTGATGGAAAAGTGGCTTTTTTTCTGCTCTTGCTGGTAACAATGAGAGGGACCTCCTTGCTCTTAATAATCCTCATTTACTGAGAAGACGGGGAAATTGTTCTTCCATGTTCTCTTCCCCTCACTGAACTCTGTTCTGACATAGACTACTGGCAAAAATACTAATTTCTAACCAGCCACTTGAAATGGCCTGCCTTTGCTGTCTGAGGCTATCCAGGGAGAGTCTGTCTTACAGCTGCAGCATTGGGCTCCTCTGTCCATGCCAGGCAGGCTGTCAGCATCCCTGCCCAAGGCCACGCAGAGCTGCTGGGAAGATGCGACATGACAGTAAGTGCTTTAGGTGCCGTGCAGCATGGAGACTCCCCCACTGCCCCAGAGAAGACATTGGGAAGGGGCTGGTGCTCCCCTGAAGCTGGGAGAGCATGCACCGCCAGCACTTTAGCAAAGGAAGGAAAGTTGGAGTATGACTTGGAGTGTGCCCCAGTGTCCCTGTGCTAAATTTACTCTGCAACCAGTCTGTTTAAAATCCACCACTGCGATATGCTGCTGCCTCCCCTCTGCAGGGCTGGGCATTTGCAAGGTCTGCTGAAATCTCAGTGTCAAGCTGCTAAAATCCACCGAGATGCCTTTCTTGGCCTCTGCAGGTCTGAAGACTGCTTATAATTCATGTCTCAGACCCTGAAACTGGAGTGGTTCAAGTGGGGTGACCCGCCACTATTT